TTGAAGTTTTTTTTTATTTCAAAATCGAACTTACATCATTACCTCAGACTTTTTAATGTATTTTTCAATCGCGATATAGGTCTTGTTCTGAAGTATTTTTTGTCTGAAAACTTGTAAAATTAAAAGCAACATATTCCATTAATTGAAGAATTTTTGTTACAGTTCTATTTGCGAGTTCGATCGTTAAGATCAAACTGTACTTCCCTAGACGTAACTTGATCATAACCTTAGGTATTATGCTGGTTGAAACAAGTTATTTAGTGTTAAACGTACATATGCAGGTGTGTGCACTCTGAATAAAGAACAGTGTTAAGGTGGGATGGAATAAAAACCCACTACCTCTACACTTCAGAACGTTTCACAGAAGCACAATATCACTCGACCACGGAGACCCCAGGCTGTAACATTTATTTACGTATTTTATTGTTACGCATACATATGAAGACCTACGTGCTCATTGATTAGAGTGCTTTAAAACCCTTGTCTAGTTGAAGAATAGATATCACAAATTATCAGAGAAGGACATCATAAAAAATATCCAGGGTTGTATCGGGATTCGGACCCACTACCTACACGTTACATAGCGTTCGGTGTATCAGCGAAATCGCTCGACTAGAGAAGCCCCACTCTAAAATTGCACAAGAAAATTTATTGAAAATACCTAAACTCTGATGTTTGTTGTAGTTGAAGGACCCTTCCTGAAGGAGCGTTATCGACCGCCAATCCTTCTATTGCATGGAGGTAGCGGGTTCGAATCCGTAACCCTGGATATATCTTTGTGCTGCGAAATTGTACTATCTGTCTTTTTACTTGACGGGGTTGGGATTCCATGGCTTGTAGGACGTTGGGCCCATGTCCAACAGGTCATCAGTTTCATACCAGCCGGCCGAAGACTCCCCGTACCCAAAATGATGACTGGTGCATGCTAAATCTGTTGAGGTCACAAAATCCTCCAAGTTCCCGTAAAAAATCAATACTTCTGGTGGTACTGGATCGGAGATTGATCGTGCTCATGTTCCGGTGATGTATGCATGCTGTCTCTGGTTTATCCTGAGGGATGCTTCCCAGACCGTCGCCAATAGCCTATTGTACAGCTCTAGTATGACGTAAATAGATGTACCTATCTACCTTTCTACTTGACAAAGGCTTATAAGCCGTATTTCTGTAATTGAGCACACAAGCCTGCATATATATGAACAACTAAATGGAAATAAATAATAGCGAAATGTTTGTGTGTGTTACATTTTAAGAAAACAAAACAATATATCATGTATATATTGCGTGATAGATAAATCAGGTTGTAGATAAATCAGGTTGAAACTGTAATAACAAATACGAACATTGAACTTTTGAATTTCGAGAAAGCTAATTTGATCTCTCATAGTTGGTTTCATCAACTAAACGGCGTTAAGGTTATCCGTCGAATCCACTTTATTGCATGACAATACTTTCTGAGATGTTATTACATCCACGAGAACTAAACTACTCTGACGTTAAATCTTGTTGTAAATAGAGTATGCTCTCTTCGTCTATTCATACACTTACTTACAAACGTGTTTCGGAAAAACCAGCTGGTCTCTTGTGTTGATATTTTAGAATAAAAATTTTTTGGTGGTAAGTATGAGCTTGGAGTTTTAAGATTACTATGATTCAATTATTATTTAATAACTGATATTTTTTATTGTTTTATTCATTCAAAATTGAGCATTGAATAATAACTGTTAAACTATGTATTCAATTTATAATAAATTTCTAATTAAGATTTTTTGTTGTTGCTATACTAGGAAAATTATTAGATAAAATCAATAGAGGTGGTAACAAAAAAATCCGATTTTTCTATTTCTTGAAAGTTTACATTTAGCTGGTGCTTTTAGCATTCATACCAAATTAAATAACTACATAGTTTGACGCGAACTTCATATTTTATTACACAACCAATATGTAACGCTTTCAGAAGCCTTTATTTATTTATTTATATATATAGAGATTTCTTTAATTAATTGACTTTTTTTAAATAATCCAATCGGTGTTTATATTTTATGAGCCGTATTACATAATAAAAATATAAAACTACAATAAAATAGTAAATATTTAATTTCTCAACTCAATTTAACTATTAATAATCGTTCATTAATATTTTCAAGGTAATATGCTTAGTACGAAATTGACACTAAGGAAATTTCCCTTGTTGTAAAACTTAAAGTATAATAATGAACGAATCATGAGACTGAAACACTAAAAAAATATAAACAAATACTTCCACGTAGATAGATGGTGTAACAGGGGAATGAATAACTTGATCATATAAAAAATTGCAATGTAGTTTTGTATTGTAAATGATAAGAACTCTTATCCCAACATATCCTTTACAAAATTTAATCTTCAACCTAGATTCAAATTATGGGCATAAAAATCACTTTTTATATTTTAATAGCTTGTTTTTACGTATCTAATATTTCTATGCTTTTGGTAGATTATTAAAAGAAATTCTTGACTGTTAATTAAAAGAATATCAGCAGTTTAAAAATAAGAATAGAATGTTTGATCATACAAGAAAAGAAATTGGAAGCAATTATTTCGATAAACTTTACCGATTAAGCAACTAGGTAGTGTTTTAACCCTTTCAGCATCCATATGATCTCATTTAGTATCATTTGTATTTTCTTCTATTTTAGTTCATGAAATTTTTATGTACTTATGTTATTTTAGAAAGGGGGCGAACTTTTGGGATATTTTTTTTTAAATATTCTCGTTAAATTTTTTTAAATTTCTCTTTCTTTTTAACTGAAAAACATAATTTGAAGTTCGGTAGGAATAATTAGTTTTTAAATTTTGATTTCCAATGTAAAAAATTGCTTCAACTAAACAGTGATTGAAAAATGGGCAATGGGCTATTGTCCCCTTATGTTTTTTGTTTCGTTTTGATTTAGGAACGATTGTATCAATTGTCAATCATGAGCATTGAATATGACGTCTTGCAAGAAATTGGCATTAATGATTTGACAGAAGACTTCGCCCTTCAAAATGCACGAAAAGTATTGTTACCTCTAACTCTAAATGCAAATATTATTAAAGCTTTTAAGATAATGTACTTCTTTTCAACCATGAAATAATTTTTAAAAAATTATTCAAAATTAAACTTTTTTTAACTCAAACTACTCATAAAGGGCTCCCAAATAACAAGTTCAGGGCTCCTAAAAACATGGCTCTGGAGCTGCAGAAGCTACGTCGTAGGAGTTACGTCTTCGTTCGCTGTAGGAGTTACAAAAGTTGGATCATTTTTCTCCATCGGAGCTGCAGAAATTACATAACTGTTCTTCGTTGGAATTGTAGAAGTTTCTCTAGGTAGTGTTCGACTAGCCATCATATTATCCCGATCTGTACTTTTCGCTTATAGGGACCATGAAACCAATAGGATTTATGACAATATAATGCTCCAAGTTATCGTAATCAATACGGTATTGTCGTATCGAATTCGTCAAGACGTACGAATTATGCCAGATTCTGGTTCAGACGGGAGACTGACAATTGATAATCAAATAGGTGGATCAATAACTGCAATCATTACGATAGATATGACAATTTCACGATAACTAGTGATAACAATTTATGCCGAATATGATAATATAGTGATCCTTATCGATAACATATTGATAAGAAAATATTATACATAGCTATTAATTGAATATGATATTATTGTGAGTGTTGATAAAATTTATTTGGGTGACAAAAATTTTGACCAGCATAAAAATAAAATAAATTAGTTAAATTGGAAAAAAATATCGTAATTTAATGTTAAAAATCTATATTTTGACAATACATTGCGATTTTAAAATTCTTATTTATTGGTTACAGGAACCAATGTTATCGAGATGGCGACAACTGGGAAAAGCAATAGCCAACACATTGTCCTAATAGCCGATAAGTAACCTTATAACCGATAACTCAAAGCGTTTTCCTGTTCTTGAGCCCAAAGGAAATTCCAGTTCTTTTTCACAAAAAAAGACGTTGTTGTACTTTATTTACGTCGCACTAGAGCTGCACAATGGGCTATTGGTGATGGTTTGGGTAATTGTTTTTTTTTATGGAACGAGTGGGACTTAAGCATTTGTTTTGAGTTTAATAGTACTGTTTAAACTTTACTATATCAGCTTGGTGGGTTGTTGAATATATGAAATTAATCAATAGAATTCCTAGAAAAGTTTTTATTACTCATATTACGTTACACAAAATGAAAGTAATACACATAATGACAGAATGAAGAAGCGTTGGATTTGACATAAGACAAAAGAAATTACTGTCCGAGTAAAACCTCGGTAAGCTGTGTCTGTGTGTGATCTATCGAAGCGAGTTTCTTACAGTACCAAAACTGACAAATAAAATGTCCGGATTTCGTATGTCGAACAATTATATTAGGGGGACCGGAAAGTAATGTCATTTTGGCACGTTCCATATTTGTTAATCTTAAATACCAATTCACTTTTTCGATCCATTGTGATTCATTTTCGATCCCACATTGAAAGGTTGTTGCTAACGAGGATGAATACATTTTTGATTAAAAATAATACCTTGATAACGAATATCAAATGTACCGAATCGAAATTACTTTCCGGTTCCCCTAATGCATTTGTTTGAATGCATACTCATCCGCCATTTTGGATTAAGATAATACTAGGAAATATAATCATGAAATCATTTGAAAATTTATATTTCTTCAAGACGCCTTTACTTTCCAAACAAACTGGTATTCGTCGATTTAAAAGTATATGCCACCGTAGTTATTGACTCAGACTCTAACGCAGACTCACTTTCTTAAAGTAAGAGGTATGTCCTAACTACTATGACAACTCGGCTCTTCGATTTCTGACAGTGTATAATTTGACATTTCTTTAAATGTACGTTTTGAATTACGATAATCCTATCTAACATAACTGAATACTGAACAACGAAAGTTCCTGATGATTTTTTTTAATGATTATAACTTAAAATTGTTGAGCATTATATTTTATTTATGGATCTATACTGTTCTAACCCCATAACTTCCGACTCACTCTGTAAGTGAGGATGACCCAAAAGTTTCCTCACTTTCAACCAAAACAACTTCTGGTCCGGTAAGTTATCCGGCCACAGTAAGCAAGTTCTAGTTTTCTCCAAGTACTTCAAGTTTTTAGTGTAAAACTTCTTATCCACTTGCTTCAGTTTAATTAAGATGAGGGAATCTCTTGTCTCGTCGAAAAGCCTGTGCTGAGCCATGTGCAATTCGAACATGCACCACTCACTCTTAACGAACTCTTCAGTTAAAATCAAAATGACTTTTCTACTGTTCTCAATGGCGTCCAGAATATTATCCGTTATGAGCCATCCGACCTTGAAATCTCTATCGTGAATGCACAGCTTCAGTTTCGGATCTTGATTCTCTAAGGCTGGAACCAAGAAGGACACTATCCAGGGGGTGTCGCTCGAATTGTATGAAACAAACGCGTCATATTTATATGTCCTCTCGTGTTTACTATTGCTCGATCTTCTCTCTTTGACTTCTGATTTGATGTGAAATACCCAGTATCTGATGTACCACCGGAAAGTATAGCAAGTGTATGCCATTACAGCGACGAATAAACTCAGAAGACAAATTAGGACAATGGTAAAAACGTTCACTAATTCTTCCTGTTCTGTGCAATCGGTGAATGGAAGGTCTACTTCTACAAGAGGTTGACCTTGCAATTTATTTGGCAGCATGCACTTAACACTGATCTTCTCCTGATTAATCCGCAGAGGCAATCCCATCTGTATGTGTGTAGAATTCAAGAAATTTTGGAAGTTCTTCATGCCACATTTACTGCAGTTGAAAGGATTTCTTCCGATGTCAAGGAAACCTGTGATTTTCCGAAATTCCGACAACATAGTTGGTGTAGCGTAGTCAATGTTATTCTGCGACAAGGCAAAAGTGGACACGGTTGAATTTTCACCCAAAATTGGTTCATCCCAGGGTGAAATTTTATTCCTCAACAGAATCAAAAGTTCAAGATGGTCAGTAAATGCAAACATATCTTTTGGTAGATTCTCGATTCGATTATTGTCCAATAAAAGATTTACCAAGGACGGCGTTGACTGAAAAGGATTTCCCCAATCCATCAATGTTAACAAGTTGTATGACAAATAAAGATTTGTTAATTTATGGAGACCAAACAATGTCGCGTTGCTCAAATATTTAATATTGTTGATTTGCAAGTTCAGGGTGTTCAAAGAGCTCAGAGTCTCAAATGCATAATCTTCAATATTAATCAGACCAGCACTTTTTAATGACAAAGCTCTTAGATTTTTTAAGCCGAAGAGAACAAATCTGTGGAGAGTTCGGGGAAGCAAATTGCTTGATAAGTCGATTATTTCCAAATTTGAAGTATTTTTGAAGCCAAAATCTGATAGGGTTAACTCTACCGTTTTGAACCGAGATGCTTGATTGGATAGAATTAAGGTTTTCAAACTCTTTGAAGAAGAAATGTCGTAATGAACTAAATCGTTATTAGAGAGAACCAATTCGGTTAAATTCGGGAGCTGGCTAATGACGTCATGATCGATGAACTTTACGGCGCAATGAGTCAGCCATAATGACTGAAGCGATGGGATATACGGCACCTTATGAACTTCAATAAAGTAATTGTGGGAGAGATCAATACGGTTTATCGGTGTATTTTCTAAAAACTTCAGAGATTCAGAAGGAAAAACATTCAAATGAACCCATTCTTGTAGAAATAAATACCTAATGGGGGCATTCTTTAGACTGCTTGTAACATTAGTTAAAGCCTCTGCATTAAGGTAATTCACTGATAAATCTAATACCTCAAGCTTCGTTAAGTGTTCGAAAGCACCTCTCTCAGCAATGCTCATAGTAGTGTTAAACAGATGTAATTTAGTAATGTTGCTGTTGCTTAGAGGTTTGAGGTCGTTTTTCCGAATTCGAAAAATTCTCCAGTTGTGGTCAAGCACCAGAATTTCCAAGTGCTTCAGTCCTTCCAAAGCATTTGCCACAACTTCGATAGTTATGAACGAGTTTTTGCTAAGATTTAAATATTTAAGATTCGAAAGATAACTGAAAGCATTCTTTACGGCCATTATATTATTGTCACTCAAATCAAGATGTTCTAAGTTTTCGAGTCCAACAAAAGCTCTCGTTATGTATCGGTGCTCGTTGTTAGACAATCTGAGATATTTCAATTTCTTCAACGATCTGGATAATGGTTTGAGCAACTTCATTGTTGGACTATTTGTAATTTCGAGGCTTGCAGTGTCGTTTGGCAAGTATTTTGCCACATCGTATATTGATACATTCTTGCACGAAATGCTTACGTCATCATTTTGATCCATATTGCATTTAAAGTAACGGATGAGGTAATATGAAGACTCTAAAGCTCCTCCTGTTTCATTATATTCAGATGTGTTGTTGATAGTTACGATTGGAATCTCAAAACTTTCATTTCCTTCACTAGTATTTAAGACTTGGAATAACAAATCATTACTGTCAAATAGTCGAATGTCAAATAAATCAAAATCTAATGCTCTGATTACCAGCAATTGCGAATCAGTAATCCTGATTGGAACATCATGTAAGGTGGTTATGTTGTGAGAATTTAAGGGAACATTGTTTAGATTAGTTCTATTTAAACTGAATGAACGAGCATTTCGTTGTAATGCATGGTTTGAATCATGTGAAATATTTGTTGGTAGAAAGTGCAGAGGAGCTTCACTTTTCTTATATAATGACGGAGCTTCTTTTCCCTCAGAGGGCATTGATAAAGTTCTGTTTTGTTCAGAAGATAATGATAAAGTTTTGTTTTGCGCAGAAAGTGATGATGAAGATATATGTGTATGAAATCCAGTTACAAGTTCAAGAAATCCTAATAATAAGATCAGTGTAGTTGAAAACATTCTCATATGTTCCTTTGGTTTATACCTGGAATAAAAATTTGTTTAGAATATTTACAAATTATTACAGCATTCATTTAATTATATACTAGGCGTTTCTAAATCTTATAACCTCTAGTAATATAGCAACGGTGAGGTTTCAATTCTAGACTCAGCTAAAGATGCGCATTTTAGAAATTGATCGTAGCTCCTTCGGGGGTCATGGATGCTGAGCTGTGTGCCGATGCCCCCCGTTGTAGCTCAAACTGCGTGCTTAAGAAAATGGACACTGTTCAAAATGCATGTTTAAGAAAATGAATATAGCTGGAAATGAATGTTCAAAATAATGGACACAGCTGAAAGACGTGTTTAATAAAATGGATACAGCTTAAATTGCACCTTTTTTTAAAGCTCAAATCAAAATTGTTGTAAAAAAGAACGCGTCTTTACTGTCAGTTCACTGCTGGACTTAAATTTATAATGTATGCAATAAAAGTATATTAATAAAAATAATTTATTTAATTATAAATTGAAGAAAATCCGGGTGAAGATATGATTTTGTGGACCCTTTTTATATCTTCATAAATATATTTAAAAGAAGATGAGCAAAAAAGTATAAAAACTACATTCTTCTTCAACTATGTATCAGACGTTTGTACTGATGTTTGATGTGTGTACAGAGCGCCAAATAAAAGAGGGAATACCCCGAATAACTTTTGATCTAATAATCGGATCTTCAAGTCTTAGGGCTCAATCGAGGGGCTGTCTTCAAGTATGCTAAGTAATTTGTGCAGATGATACTTTAAGTTACGAAATCAGACACAAAAACAGCATAGCAAACTCTGCATAAATATACTGATTTTTAAACAGATTCGGATTTCTGATCCCCACAATAGAGGGATTTTCTGCAATCTGGAAATTAACGTCCCAATAGTTTCGTCAGGAGTGCTGTCGAAAGTTTGGATATGTTAATGTTAATTTTAACTTTTTGCGTATTTCAACATATCTCTCAAAGTTTTGAAGCAAATTAAATTTGGGAGCAGAATTATAAATTTCGTATTCGAAAATAATTTCTGGCAAAAAATAGCTTTTCGTAAATATTTTTTATTATTATTTTACATTTTATTAAATAATAGTCGAAAATATTTTGAATTGCTGAGTATAAATTTTTTTAATAATTTTAAAGAATGCAGTTTTAAAAGGCGAAATACAAAATTTGAATGGGATTGATCGAATAGTTCCTGAGAAATCGGAACTAACTCCATCCAATCGGATCTAAACTTTGGACTGCTCTTCTGAAAAAACTATTGAGACCATAAATCCCAGTTAGTGGCTACTCCCCATATCGTGGGGGGGGGGGGTAGAAATCTGAATCCGTCGAAAAACGGTAAGTTTTTATTCAGAGAAAGTATGTTTTTGTGTCTGATTTCGAAACCTAAAATATGGTCTGCACTAATTAGTTAGCATATTTGAGGTCCCCCTTTTGATTCATTACGATTGAGTCCTAAAACGTGAAGATCCGATCATTAGATCAAAAGTTATTCTGGGTGGTCCTTTTTTTATTTTGCGCACTGTACATTTTTGTAACTGATGCCTTTTGTGACTGAACTTAAAATACTGTCTGCACAGGAAAGAATGCATATTTACGATAGCACCGAATTAATGTCGCCTTACAAAGGCTTACGAGTATAAGCCAAATTTATAGCCTCTAGTCAAATTTCAACTTAGAGTATTCTTTTAAATTTTAGTTTCGTAATCCAATAATATTTTTTATTATTTTGTATGCATATAAGTATTTTTTCTTTGGCACCTGTTTTAAAATTAGTTTTATATGAATGGTATCCCGTTGCTTATGTTGCCTAAATAATATTAAAATGGAGAAAAAAAAATTTTAAAATTGTATCAATTAAAATTTTTTATATAAATTAAAAAAAGAAAATTGCAAATCTAAGAATGAATAACTAAATTTTAAAAGTTCTTCAAAATATTTTTTTGAAACCATAAAAAAAAGGGTTCATATCATCAATACTTGAATGCCGAGTATTGTGAATATACATTCAGCAATTTGCAAAAGTATTTATATTTTTATTGGGAAAAGACATTTAGAGAGTTAGAAATGTCTTAATACTAGCGAGTTTTAAGAAATGATGTTTGAAAAAAGTATGGATGCTAGCGAGCATTGGGAATTGACATTTATAGAGAAGCCTTAATACTAGCGAGCATTGACATTTAAAAGAGTATTGATGCTAGCGAGCATTGAGAAATGACATTTAGAAAAATCTACTAGCGAGTATTGGGAAATGACTTCTAGAAAATATTGATACTAGCGAGTTTTAAGAAATGATATTTAAAAAAGTATAGATGCTAGCGAGCATTGAGAATTGACATTTAGAAAAGTCTTAATACTAGCGAGTTAATTGATAAATGACATTTAGAAAAGTCTTAATACTAGCGAGCATTGGGAAATAACATTTAGAAAAGTATTGATGTTTGCGAATATTGGGAAATGACATTTAGCAACTCAAAGTTTTTCAATACTTTTTCCAAAAGCATCGAAAAACTTTTGAAATACTTTTTCAATACTTTTTCATAGTTTAATAGTTATTTTTGTTGATTTAAATTTTAATTTTAGTAGATTAATTTTGCTAAGAAATCATTGGTTTAAATCAAACAATTATTCGAAAGAAATCATTGATTTAAAAAACCTAAAAAACATGCATGAATTTTTTACTTTTTAGTTTTAAAAGTTATTGTAAATATATCATGGCTCAATTAGCAAAATTGAATTAGTTAGAATTTGATGCGCAATTAATTACAGTACTTTTAAAAGGATATTTTTTAAATCACATAAATCCGTTTGAATTTTTAAGAATGCAAACTAATAACGAAGTGAAATTTTAAATCAGTTTAAAATATATGTAAAATGTATGTGTAAAATAATTTTTTTTAATATATGCAAAAAATAGTTACCGAAAAAGAATTTTATTATTTTAAATTACTATCTTCAAAACCACATTTTATTTTAATATTTTACTTATATTTCTTAATCTTAAAATAATTAGAATATTAAAAGATTATTATCTTAAAATGTCAATTAAAAAAGATAAATTTCTTTAATAGGATTCTTTTTATATGTGGGTTATTTAAGTTATTTTGCATTGGTTAAAATTATTAGGTCGAATTATGGTCAAATAATTGTCAAATTATTGTGGCTACAGTTAATGTAAGTTAGGCAACAAAATCTATTTTGTTATTTCAAAGTTAAAAAAAAAATAGTGCGTGGAGTCCCTCCGCGCGGAAGAAGTTGAACTTCGCAACCTGCAAGTTCTTTGGTTAATTGTAGAAGAATCAGCAGTCGTAGAAGGATCTATTCGACGACTCTTTTTCCTGCTCCGCTCGCTTCCGTGCTCTGTAATAACGGTAATATTGTGAATTTTTCCCTCGTGGACCTCTTGAACCAGTGGAAGTGCTTGCCTCATCGTCTCGCCTTGGAAAATGTATTTGTATTAATAATGTATGTGAATGCGTCATAATGTAATTTCAGAAGAGAAACAATCAATTGATATTCACAAGAGACGTACCTTCACATAAACTTAAATCCGTCGCATTGTCCGTGGGATTGTTTTCACTCATTTTTTACAATTGTTATACACTAAATTTGAAAATAAAAAATACTACCCTATTAAATTATATGTGTATCAAAACAAACTAAGAAAATATTTATAGAAAAACAATACTTTTGTGACTTTTATTAATTTTATGCTAGTGAGAAGCAAAACGAAATGGAAATGAATGAGGGAAAACTGGATACTACCACGTGATTTCCCGGCAAATAAAAATTTTGCGTTAAACGTTTAACGCAACCTTGTTGGAAGTCGCATAAGAAGTATAACTTCAAAAAAAACAACAAAAAAAAAAGCTGTGCAATTAGTTTTGTGATTGTTTCTTAAACCCTGTTTTTCAATAGCCAGTTAATAATGTATTTGCATCTTATACTGTACTATAAATGTATATAATGTTAATAATGTATGTAATGTCAATAATGTATATAATGTTAATAATGTATATAATGTTAATAATGTATATAATGTTACTATAAAAAAAATCATAATGCATTTTCACGGTTTGAAATGCATAATTAAGATTTATTTTTTTAAATATTTCAATAATTTTTTTTTAAAAATGTAATTTACTTCAACGTTAACTTAATCTTAAAATTCAAAATAATCCAACATAAATCGGAATAATTTGATTTTGATTCATATCAAATATATGTTTTACTCTTTATTAAGGGGGAAAAAATCACGAATCCTATTTTCAATGATATTTAGCTTTTTAATGAATTATATATATTTTTTGATTGTATCGAGGAAAAAAACATCTTGTTCTTACAACTGAAGCTAATCCTAATTTGTTTATTTTGTATTACTTAATATAAACCCCGTTACGACAAATATGACAAGAACGCGAATCAACTAACACGCTAATTATAACTAAATTCACTCTAATTCCCGCAAACACTCTAATTATAAATAAACTATATTAAAATATGTATAAATAAATTAAATCACATTTTTTAAAGCGTACACATCGGATAGCAGTAAAGAAATATTTATTAAAATAATTTTGACATGATAACCTAGTAAAGTCAACTAGTGAAGAAAAATTGTTTTTATTAAAATTTAATGACAATCAAATAAAAAAAGAAAAAAGAAGAAGAACAGCGTTCCAAAAGGAAACAAAAGAGTTTTTCAAAAACATAATATTTTCGTAAAAAGGAGAAAAGAAATCAAAATTAATCTTACCTTTTGGATTTTATATTTTCCTCGCAAAATAAAATCTTTCGTCTTTGAGTTGTCCTCTTTAATAATTGAGAATAATAATATTTATTTTTAAAAAATTCTTATAAAGTGTTTTCTGCAATAGTTTTAACAGGAATAACTTCCTTTCAGATGTGCTTTTTTCCTACTCCATTTATAGCGCCATTTTTTTTAAATGAAGAAATGTTTATTTTTGTATTTTTGTCGTTTCCTCTTTTAATTGACATTTTATCTAATCGTATTCTTATCCTAACATGTTTATTTCACCAATCACACAACAATGGCGAGGGGAGGTGTGTATTAACGTGTAAACATTGTAACTAAATATTGCAACCTCTTAGTAGAATCAAGTAAAATTTTTAATTTTTTTTGCTAATGAAAATAGATTTTAAAGGAAGTTATTTGATACCTTGCAAATTATCACAAAGTAAATAATTTCTTTACAATTGAAAAAAGTATAGATTTTTTTGTTGTTGAAATTTTTAAAATTTTTGAACTCTTGATTTAAGCTATTTCATGTACAAGCATTAAATCTATGACAGAGCTTTATATTAACTCCTTTAGAGATAAATGCTTAAATAATACTTGCTTGACGTAATTTTTTAAAAAATTCAGTTTTTTTTTAGGTTTGTAGATTTTAAAACTAATTTTAGTACTTTTAAAATTATTTTTGTAGCAAAATGTAATCTTATTTTGAAAAAGAATTACTTTTTAAAATAAAACAATAAACTAATGTAAAACTTACAGCAACATTATTTATGTATAATTTAAGATTTATATTCAAATCTTTAAAAACTTTATTGCGCTATTATAAGTGTCACATTCTGAATATTTCAGTAGTTTAAAAAAAAAAAATTTCGTGTACTTATTAAATTTATGTCAACAATCGTAAATTCGGAGGTATAAATTTACCTTTAATTTTCAAAGTGCCAAATGAATCCGTGTAATATTTTTTTTTTTTGGTCACAACTCAGAATTTTTTCCTTTTTCTGCTTAGAAGTTGTAGCAATTTGAAATGTTTTATGTCCATGCTTTTCCTCAGCTTTACTCATACTTAGAAGTTTGGATTACGGAAAAACTGCTCAATTGATTTTGATGTCAATTAGTAAACTTTAGAGAATCGATGTTGTGACTATGGTTGGAACAAAAATTTAACCTTTTCCAAAATTTATTTTTTTATATAATTTTGTAAGGAAATACATATATATATATATCAGATTTTATATATATATATATATCCTAAAAA